GTATATATATATATATATATAATATGATAGTGGTGGAATTTTAGCCTCCTTTGGGTCTTAATGTCTAATTATATACGCAACTATATCTATGATGTACAAAATAATGAAAATGTACAAAATAAACAATAGAAATAATGTCCTTTTTAAAGCCTTTGGCCTTCCTCAATTCAATCTTCTCATTTCCATACTCATATATATTTGCTTTTCCATATCTTTTTTCTTTCAATACTGTTCAATACCTTCTTTGGCAAACTGTTTGACTTTACGCGTGCATGTAAATATTTTTTTGTAAATATTTGTGTTATATATAAATTAAAAATATAATTTTCTTCTGAATTTTGATGCAAATTATAAACTATAAGATCAATAATTTTAAATATTTAAATGTTTTATTTGAATTGTGAAAAATTATTTTATTACATTAGTATGCTTCAACACTTAATTACTTAATTAATATTTACTAAATAATTATTTTCTTTTAAATGTCCATTCGTTATTTGGTCTACAACATCCGCGAATATATAATTTTATACATCTAATATTGATAGAAATAATTTTCTTATATGCAGAGCACAAATATATGCATTAGATGCAATTAAAATGTTTGAATTTATACATACATATTTATAAAGTGTAAACAGAATACTTTAATAGTTTGCCGATATATGATAGAAATAAAAATTGCCCATTATATCATAACTTACGTTATAGCCTTATGGTCTCAAAAGCAAGGTCTACAAATCACAGAGTCTACAAGATTTACAGAGTCTTAAGTCGTATGAAACTGACCAATTTTAATCGAGTATTCTCCTTATATTTGATTATGATTGGTTGATTTTCTATAACTTCTATGTAGAGGACCCTTGATTGAGATTTTTTGTGTGCCATAGCTTCATATGTTCGTATTTCATTATATGCATAATTTGCATATGAGATATCGTTCAATTTTTATCGCAAAGTGTTAAACAAAAATAAAATGATCATGCGTATTATGCATGCAACAGAACGCAGATAAAGTACACATACTCAGACACACTCTATTCTTAAAGCTAAAAACAGCTTTATATATATTATGCATTCAACCCGAATTATTCTAATATTACAAAATAAATTATATTGAGAAAAATAAAATTTATTTAATAACAAATAAGTTATTAAAAATCGAAAGATCATGATTGCATCATCTTCTATGTGAAAAGAAATCAAATATTAGGTGAAAATAAAATTTATCTCAATATTCTTAGAGCAAAGCAGCAAAGAAGATGGATAGTATAGGAAGCAAGGATGGTGATCAGCCACTACTAAAGTGACTGAGCCAGACTGAGTCCAAGGTTAAAATTTATCTTATCTTATCTAGAAGCGTTCGGTATGAAATTCTATTTATTATAGATTAAAAAAGAGGTATTAAAAAAGAGAATATCTTTTCAATTTAATTTTCAATAAATAATGCTTTACAAGCACCGCTTCGTAATAATGAGATTATAAAATATGTAGTTAACACATAACAACTAAATTTTCCTGTTCAATTACGAGATTCACAGTATATATTTGTCTATTTCTTAGAATTTAAATGAATCTGATAGTATCCGCAATAGCATTTTACAAGGGGTTTCAAATTTACTGCTTGCTAATGGCATCCTGACAATCCTGAAATCATTTTGAGATGAAAATTCTAATATCAAAATGACGAGACTGTAATAATTTTTGAATTTAAAATTAGCAAATAATATTGCTTTATGGTCGCGCGTTTAGATGTAGTTTTTTTTTATTTCGCTTATGGAACAAAATGTCAACCATATCTTAACGTGTGACCTTTAGACAATATGAGATCCATTCCGATATTCACTGCTGAAAATTTATAGTGCATGTATATAACATATTTTATAAATACTAATACTGATTACCAGAAACGTAGCCATGATTCGTTAACTTTAAATGCTAATAATTAAAAAACTATTTTATTTATATAGCCTCGATATTTTGATATTAGAATTTTCATCTCAAAATATTTCATCTTAAAATGACTTAAAGAATCTGTTAGCAGGAAAACATAGTAGATTTAGGATATCCTCTATATATTTGAAAAGTTATAGATTACAGAATATATATTATATAATATTTTCACAAACTGTAAATTCTCTCTGTAAAGTACTCAAGTAAATTCTTTCGTTCTAGACTTCTTTACAAAATGCATACAAGTATAAGAACATGGGAAATATATATTTGAAAATGAGAAAATATGATGAAGCTATTGCTCAATATAATAAAGCAATCGACATTTATTAAAAGGAGAAAGATGACCTCGCGATTTTGTATCAAAATAGAACAGTTGCGTATGAGAAATTGATAATAAGATTGTTGACATAATAATAAGCATAACATGAAAATAAGACTTCAATAGATTCTTAAAATGAAAGTATTATAAGTGTTTATACAATTGTAATTGCAATTTGTAGAAAAAGTATAGTTCTGTAAAAGCAGATTGTATAAAAATAATTGAATCCAAATTATGTAAAAGCTCTTCTACGCCGGACACGTACTTTAGAGCAAATAGGAGACTTGGAAACCGCTTTGAAGGATACAATTACCGTATGTACTTGTGAAGGCTTTTCTAATCGAATTTCCTTTGAAATAGCAGAAAAATCTTCAACAAGGTTGGTGAGTTACATGTCAAAAGCAATTGATATTAAATAAAATATTATTCATGCAAATTAAAGTGATAATTAAGAAATATAAAGACATAAATTTAATAATTTAAAGTAAAAATTATTTTCAGTCGAATAACTCACTCAGGAACAAACAAAGAATATATAATGTTAAATAAGGATTTCGTCAAATCATACAGTAAAGTATTTTCTAAGGATCCAATATTTTTTAAACTTCACAATCAGAAAATATTCTTGAGTAAATATAAATTGAAGATTATTTTGATAATTATGATGTTCGTTTTTTTTTAAGTAATATTTGTTATTAGATTTTTCAAGAAACTATTACAAGCTTTAAAAGAAAGAAAATATATGATGATATAATACCACTGTGCATACTTTTCAAAGTGTGCCCTCTTTTCCAAGTCTTCTATTTTCATATTCTGTTATATGTATATTGCCTCTCTTCCAATTCTCTTTTCCTCCGTACTTTCATGTTTTTCTTGGCAAATTGTTTTACTTTATGCATGGATGTATTTTTTCAGAATATTTTTTATTTTATACATAAAGTTAAAAATAAAATTTTATCCTGTGAAAACCTTATTGTAATATAAATTGTATCATTAAAGAGGGTGATAATTTAGAATATTTATAAATTTGCGTTGCTTGCGCTTTTTGCATTTCACAATGCAAAAATTGGTAATTTCCAGCAACGTGAACAAATTTTATATGTCTCGGGCATTATAAAAAATAATTTTATGTATTTTATGATATGTTCCAATATTTAATATTTATTAAATAATCCATCTTTTAAATAATATCTAAATAATGTTTCAATTTGTTATTGAGTTTACAATATCCGCGAATTTTAGGGTTAGGTCCGGTTGCACCAAACTTCCTTTTATTTTAAATTACTTTGATTTTAAGCGAAACTTAAAATTATCTCGTTTTAAAACCGAAAAGAGACAGGAACAAAGAGAGTTTTAAGTCTCGTTCAAAATTAAAATAACGTGACAACTGGAGATCTGTTTTCTGTGGTTCAACTAGTGTATATATATATATACTTTTGGAACTTGAAGTGAAATAGGTATATATTTGATATTTGTTGAAAGTGAGAAAGAAGAGAGTGCAAGTGCAGTCTAGTGCAGGAACAGAAAACACCACAGGCCTAAGTAAGTTTAGCTAGATCGCTGGATTTAGTTGGATAGAAATGGGCGGGGAATTCCCTACCTAATATTAGCTGAAAATAAAAATATTTTTCCGTTTAGAAGACGAAGGCTGCTAGGAAGCATTGATATACGTTACACTGACACGAGGATTTTTGTAAAAATATTCATAAATACGTTCGCGGCAAGAAAGACTAGTTTTTGTAGTCAATGCGAGAGTCGTACGCACGTCCTGGTAAAAATGGCAGACTTCGTGCACGGCGAAACCAATATGTCCAATGCTCAATTAAATCTGAAATTTATGGGACGTTGGGAGAAAAAAAAGGAGAATAAGAAGAAGTGGAAGAAGGTATCTAACTATGCCAAGGTATGTATGCGTGTTTATTCTGGTCATGTTAATAATAATCATTTGAACAAAACATTGAAATCATTTGAACTTACTGGTTCTGGTTAAGTTAATGGACCTTTATAAACCAAACTGGTTTCCAATTTAATATATTTCCTTTTCCTCCTGTTCTTTTTTGGGCTGCGTTTGGAAACCGAGTGCTTTTGTACATCTTATTCTTAATGTTGAATAAATAACACGAAGTCTTAGCTAAATTTCTTGC